CCCCCCCCCCATTATAATTCCTTAGATATTGGAATCATTGAATAATATTTAGAAGAAGGTCATTTGAATAGAAATGAAAATGTATTATTTTTCTTTCAGAGTGCTGTTTTTGGGCATAAGAGCAAATTAACCTAAAGGCAGGCTTTAGCAGGCAAGGTTAAAATGCCCTCAGTGCCAGTATATATTTGCTGAAAATGTGTTAGCATCCAGAAATCAGTTTGAACAGTTCATGCTAGACATCGGACAATCGCTTTGCCATTTAGACGGTGTCAGGGATTACAACAGGCCTTATAGTTTGAGGAGAGGTTCTGTATAGAACCATATGACAATACAAAGACAGGAAGATAATTTCTTACCTTGGTGAAGTTATTTCCAAATTCAGACTTTGTTTTGTTCTGTTTTTAAGGTATCAGTCTGATGGTGCCAAAAAGGACCCTCTAAAGATCAATTCTATGGTAAATATGAATGAATGCATTTTCAGAACATCAAACTGACTTTATTTAGCTTTATTTCTTACTTTTAAAAAGTCAGATCCCTTCACCACCTTTCCTAACACCAATGTTATATTGAAGAAGAGGAAAAAGGGGAGAGCTGATTTTTTTTTTTTTTCATGTATACGCCTGATCATGAAGTGTGCATGACATGCCTTTTCTTGGCTTTGCTTTTAATATTAAAAATGAACATTTTATGGGTTTTCTTAATCTCATTTTTTTTAATCTGGTGCTGTGTTGCAGAGTGCAATGGAACACTCAACAACACTGTTTGTTAACTTAGTTTAGTGTTGGCAGTTGAAGTAGCTTAACTCAGAATATGAACTCAAACTTAACAGCTGTTAGTTTAATACAAGCTAAGTAACATGAAATCCTGCTAGTCTGTCAAATCGGTAGGTGTCGATAAATATCGAATGCAATCTTTGAGGCCTCTTTTGCAAACCATGATGAACTTTGTACAAATACTTCTAAAACGTGGGACTCTATGTATAGTCCAGTTGCTATGAAGACTGACAGTTTAAAACATGCATCCCAAGCAGATGTACGTATTTGCAAGGATAGTACAATTAACCTTTCTAAAAACCCCAAAGCATGAAATTATGATACCATTGAATTTAATGAACAACAACCAATGTAATTTTGGGGATCAGGATTTTTTCATACCCGATGCCATTTGTGGCTTTTTTGTCAGTTGCTTTAAGATGCAAACTAAACGATGTTCATTATTTATGTGGATGTCTTGCATAGTTCCTCTTCACTTAATCAACATCTTTTTACATAAAACCAAAAAGAATTTAAGCTACATTATTCCTGTTCCTTGTGGATTTTACTGCTATGGGTAGTAAAAAACTTATGATTCCTGTGGTGATACATTTTAGAACGCCATACTTCTTTTTTACCAGTCTCATGTCTGTCATAACATCAGTTACAGAACGTTTCTGTAATTATTGTTTTCTGAGAATCTATAGTGTTGGGTTTGGGTGGTGGTTGTTGTTGTTACTACTATTATTTTTTATTATTATTATTTTACATTCAGACCTGGGGATCAGAAGGGTATCATCTGTGGGTTATTGATGGGAATTCTTCTTCAAACATGAAGCCTGAAAGAGGTGCAAATAATGAAGCTCGCCAGTTCGGTATTCTGCAGTTTCATTTCATCAAGAGTGCGCTCACTGTTAATCCTTGCATGGTAAGGTTTCTGTTGATAAAATATCCTTATTTTAGAGCATAGTTCCAGTTTTCAGGTGACCTCTGAGTTACTCTCAGCAGGTTTTAAGTCTGCTTTGCAGCCATTAGATTGGTCTTCCTTTTTTATTATAGAGTCTTTAAAATGGAACTTTGAAAATATTGCTATGCAGAACTGTAGCATAGAACTCACTAGTACACAGTGATACAAAAACTGACAATAAGCTTTAAAGCTTATTTTTCATATAGTTTATATAGAACCTGTTAATATATTGATCATGTGTTTTCCTTTGTTTTCTGTACCTGGAGTTCAAGGTTGCTTTTTTGTTTTGTTTTTAATGTAGAGTAACCAGGAACAAGTCCTCCTTCAAGGAGAAGATCGCTTGTATTTGAACTGTGGAGATGCAACACAGGCTCAGAGTCCCAGAAATACTTCAGCACACTCTGAACATATTTTAGGCCCATTTTCAGATGGCAGTTTAGATTCTCAGGGTTTAAGCACTTTACTAGGACACAGGCATTGGCATGTTGTACAGGTAATTGTCACTGGTTGCCCATGTGTGCTTCGTGCTTGCGAGAGTGTGTAGGACTGGAATTTGCAAGTGATCTCATCAGTCTGCCGTACTCCTTTCCTCTAGTATTAGATCGTGAACTTCTTAGTGCTTTTTGGGTTTCCCCTGGTACAGCTTTTCGTATTGCCAAACGGTAAAGGAATGTTGGCCATCTTAACCTTGTGGCTATGAGTTAGCATCCTAGACAGTAGAAAAAACTGAATGTCTTTTTGAGTTCAGGAAGGAGTAGTTAAATTACCTTCCTGTGCTTTGGAAAGGAGTGTAAGGGCAACTTGCATGAAATCTTTTAGGGATTTTTTTCTGTTATTTTTGCAAATTGATTTGAGCATATTCAGCTGATGAATATGGCCTTTAGACTTCGACAGTATTTTCAAGCAGTTTTAGGTGGCATCTATTTAAGCATGTAATTAAAACTTCACAATATCAAGTTTTCAAACAAAGAAATTATTTCCAGAGGTAGTAATGGCACAGATCCTATCTTCTCTGTAATACAGAGGAAAGGTTAAAAAACTTTTAATCTGCATTTCTAGTGTGTCTTCTTCCATGCTTGAATTGATAGATATTTTTCTAGATAAATGTTTTTAAAAGGTCCCCAAGATTTGTTTTTTACGTAGTACGTGAATCAGTATTATTAAACAGCATTTGACTGTTGAGATGTCTGTCACATTCTGGATACAGCTGAATTTCCACTTCAGCTGGCCAGCTAGCTCTTCTGTCTTCTGTAACCTGTGCAGAAGGGTTAAGTCCTCGTTCTGTGCAGGAGTAAAACAGTGGGAGTTACTGTGGGGAGCAGCATACCCATGAGAACAGGCATTGGTTGGGTAATGAGAGCACTTACTGCCTCGTATTAAACCAAGGGCTGGCATTTGAATCTGGATTTGTAGCACCCCATGTGACATTGAAGAACCCAGGATAAAGATTTAAGTCAACATAGCCCCGTCAAGTGCTCTTATAACAGGCTTTTGGATGTGCTGGCGTGTGTTTCTGATGGGTTAGAAATTTCATCCCAACACTGAAAGGCCCTCCTGAATCTTGTGTTTGTAAGAACTTGTATGCTTCCATGAAAGGTTCTGGTGGAGGAGACGTACCTGGGTATGGGAAAAGAGCAAATTTTAACTATTAACCTGTAATATAGTATTAACTGGTTTATGTTCTTAATGTGTTTCTTTATTTCTTGTATTAAAAAACAGACTAACATTTAGGCTTCAGTAACTTGGGGCAGGGCATGGGGAGAAAGTAATTGTATTTAAGAAAGGAATTCCAACATTAAAAACCTTTAAGCAAATGTTTTGGAAAAACATGGACATTGTGCGAATTACTTTAGAATGTTATAATTAGTCACTACTTTAATGGTGCTTGGTATAGTCATGTGATTTTGGTTTTCTCTTACGTTTTTTAGATTCACAGTACATATCTAGAAAGCAACTGGCCTATAAGGGTGAGTTATTTTAAGAACATGTTCTTGCTTCTGTAAAAGTATTGGGTTTTATAACTGTCCCTTTGGGATGGATGAGCTCTTGAAGGTGAAATCACTGTTTTAAATTACAGAAAGAAGAATATGTTGTTGGGAAGCAAAGTACAAAGCATGAAGATACTTTACAAGTTTTGACTGACATACTGCCTTGTATTGATGTACTTGGATAGGATATATCATTTAAAAAAGTTCTTTCCTGAAGTTCTGGGTTTTTTCTCTTTGAACAGTTTTCAGCTATTGACAAGCTCGGGCAGAATGTAGCTGTTGTTGGCAAATTTGGTTTTGCACATTATTCTTTACTCACCAAAAAATGGAAGCTGTTTGGAAACATTACCCAGGTGAGAGGTTATGGTACATTATTTGGGTATACTGGGGAGGTTGTAATTGTTGGAATATGACTTTTGGAGAAAATTAAAAAATACCTTTTTCAAATAAACAACCTGTAGACATACTTGGGATTAGAGATGCTGGTTTTGCATGTGTTTTTCATAAAATGGCTGAAACACTTAGCTTGTGGCTTTGGCACAATTATTTGTGTCTAATTATTAACAGGTTTCCAGGTCTGAGTGCGTATAGTCAGAAACTTAATTCCATATGTCTTAGCCAAGAGTCTGTGAAACTCTGCAGCTTTGGATGCTGAGATTGTAAATTCTGCTCAGAAGCAGAAAGCTAGTTTGAGAGAGTTCAGGGAGGCCAGTAGCATAAGGAACTGCGGAGCCATGTTTTGTAGAATGATGTTTGTCCTTCACATGTTCTTCTTTAGTACTTTGGGGTTTCTTTAAACAAAAAAACCTTCATATACATAGGTTGTCTTGCCACCATCAGTAAAGCCTGGAGAGATCATGTAAGGTTTTCAGAAATTACTTATAGAATACACGTGTGTGTGTGTATATAAAAAGATATCTGTATCTGTTGTGGTTTAACTCCGGC